AAAAAAAAAAAAAAAAAAAAAAAAAAAATCGTTTGTTGCCAAATATTGTTATTATCTCACCTTAAGTTTTTGGGTTTGTTTAGAGTTCAGTGGTAATCAGTAAACCTCTTAACCAAGAGCAAAACTCAGGGAATTAGTCGCGCGTAAATTTTAGAAAACTCTTCCCAGGAAATAACCATTTATTCATAAAAAGCTTTATATAAAACTTCAAACCTACTAGCCGAAACCGAACATCGCCAATTGTTTATAATTTTGAACCTCACAGCAGGGAATCTAACTCATTCAAAAAATCTTCATTCAACTCCGTTTTTTTTGTTCCTCCTTTTCCGGTAAAAGCAAAACTGTCAAGACACGCCTCCTTCTAAATATTATAATTAATTACATCCAAGCTTATTTCACCTAATAGATTTCCGATAACCCGCTTTTAAGCTCTGGCCATCTGAAACCTCAGTTAAGTTTATAACCAACAGATTAAGGGCAGCATGGAAGACAGGTGTTGTTCTGGAAGTAAAGCTTTGTCGTGAAAAGCTTTGTAAACATCTGCTCCTTTTGACCTCCGATAGGCCTACTCACGGTTTTCGACGCCATCTTACCGAGTAGGCAAAGCGGTCAGAAATTCCAGTGCTTGTATGGGAATCCGATGGTAAATAACACAATTTGTGAATCGCAAAATTAAAATATTAGGTGGACGAATGCATTCACCAAGTTTCAAGGATTTAGCTTAGCCGTAGAAGACGCTCAGTTAATTTTTCCAATTTTCCATACATTTGTCTGTAAATTTGGCTGGGTAGATGCGGTTCGCGGGAAAAAGATTGTGGACAAATGTATGGGAAATTAATTGGCCCCACCACGTCCTTCAGATTTGGTGAATACAATCTTCTACCTAGTATGGTAAAGTTGCGATTCACACGGTTGTGCAAAATTTTCTCTTCTATCGAAAAACGGTTATAAGAACAATTTGGCTACTATGAAGTTGTTGCTTCATCTCAGCAAAATCCGTTAGCTTATGTTTTTGTTCTTTCTCATCACCCATCAGCATGTCCATGTACGGAGAACTTACGAATCGCATGTTAAGTTAGCGAAGTTCTAAAAGTCTCGAACACACTCTTTCCCAGTCTCTAATCAACAATCGCTGCGTCATGATTCGGGCAAGAGATCTGGGAAGGAGGTTAGAGAGGTTCCGTGACTTTTATCAACGGAACTGACAAAATTACTGGTCAAGTTAGTTGAGAACAGAAAATCGCTTTAGATTGCAATAGCCACGGAATTTTTTCACTCTTATAATAATGCTAAATGAACTATGAATGGAGAAGATAACCCCACGACCTTTAGGAACAATTCATAAATAATTAGTCGTGTTTTGAAAGTACTAAGGATGCTAAAGAAAATTTGATTATTTCACAGGTTTTCATTGGCTTAACAAGTCTGTTTATTGTGGTCTCCGTCACGCAATTCTGTCTTAGTACCGTGACAGCCATCAAAGAAAACAACACACCAATGCGCATACTCCGAACTCTGGACGCCGTGACCTCGATTTGGTTCACAGCAGAGTTCTTGCTTCGTCTGGTCTTCTGTCCAGATTTCAAACGCTTTGCTACGAATCCTATGAACTGGATCGATCTTCTAGCTGTGCTTCCATTTTACCTTTCGCTGTATCACGTCGGGTCACGAACATCCTGGCTTGTTGTCATGAGAACGTTCAGAATTTTCCGCATTTTCAGCCTGTCGTTTTCATTTCAAATCTTATTCCACACTCTGATATCAAGCAAGAACGAGCTGTTCCTGGTATTCCTGAGCCTCATTGTGCCTATAATTCTATTTTCCAGTATGATTTACTTCGCAGAGAACGAAACCAACACAGAAATGTTCCCAAGCATCCCAGAATCCTTCTGGTGGGCGATCGTGACAGTCACTACTCTGGGGTATGGTGACGTAGTTCCCGTGACCAAGGTGGGAAGGATCATCGGAGCCATGTGCGCGATCTGCGGCGTTATAATCATTGCACTTCCGGTCTCTGTGATTGGCAGCAACTTCAGTTACTTTTACATGCAAGCGCGCACGCGCATTCAACAGCCAAGGCGCTCCACCAAGATGCCCGCGCTGTCGCACGTTCCCGCCAATTTGATGTACAAGCGTCTACCGCGCAGGCGCAGTGGTTCGGGATGAGAGACGAACGGAAGTGTGCATGGAAGGTCAGTCGTGCGGTGCGGGTCCAGTCTCAAACGAAAAACATCGTCGCAGTATCGGCGAAGGCCCATTCGTAAATCAACTGCAAATTATGGAACGCAAGGGAACGCTTTCGAGATGGCGGCACTAATGCGGCAGAAACACCGAATGGAAACGTTTTCAGAGGAAATTTAAACTAAAAATTAAAGAGAGATGTGATTTTCTTACAGGGTAAATATACGACAAACGCGCCGGATTGCCTAGTAGTGTAATCAAACCAACAAGTCCTATATTCAATTGGTAAACAATAGAAAATCCATGTAGTGACCAGATCACCAAATATAACCATGGTAACGTTCAGACATCTGGGATTTGTGCGCTCGGTTGCAAGGTAAGGATAAGCAGCCGAGTTTTACTGTCAGCTGGCCGAAAAAGGCTAGAGAGTGTTATGTATAAAAGCTGAAACAAGCCCAGATCCGTTTACGTAGTCTCCGGTGTCCTGGCGTGGCACCCGCATGGTTTCTTATACGCGGGGGCATTTCCGGTGAGAGACAAGCGTATTGTGCACAACTGAGAGACAGGGGTCAAAAGGCGGCCCATACAAGCGGCGTGTCTGTTTGTATGTTCGAAATATAAAGAAATGTATGGGAATCTTAAAGAGTCTTCATATCGTAAACTGATATCGAGTAATGTCCTTGTTAATATTCCCATACATTTCTTTATATTTCGAACATACAAACAGACACGCCGCTTGTATGGGCCCCTGTGGTTTAAAGCTGGTTCCATCTCCTCTCTAACGTAAACAGTTAGACAGACCCTAGACAGTTCCCCTGAATGCGCAGGTCCTTAGCCGAGCTATATGCTTAGCTTGACCGTTAGACTGGGAAACATAGAAATGAACGTAATCACGTGCCAATAACATGCACTATTTGCTGAGAAGTAATGAAAACCAACAGTGAGATGAGGAAAAGTTTTCCCTCGGGTATAACAGAAAGATCTGCGATCAGGGACTTTATTTGGAGGGAGGGTATTATCGCTATATATCGTAGGTTACACGTGCGGCTGTCGGCTCTTCTAAAAAGGCGGCTGGCGACAGCACATTGCGCTTTCTAGCAAAGAAGAAATCGCAGGAACTTAGTTAGCCACTTGAAGGCACGTCTCTTATAATGTTATTAACTTTTATATCATGTACAAAACTACAAAGAAAATTAACTTACCAATGACAAAAGAAATACATTGACTTTTTTAGAGTAACGGCTAAGAAGCGCTCAAAATCTGATTGAAAAGATGCGTACATCAGAATCTTGTATATGGTTACAAAATATCAATAAATACTAGCTCATAAGATAAACCGAAATGAACGGAAGTAACAAGTACTATTGACGCAACAAGGAGCTTAGCAACGACTTGATCTTATCCTTACAAGTTTAGTTGAATCTTCAGATTTCAGTTAAATTAAAAGAGCATTTGTCGGAGCGTTAAATTGGTTTCACTGGACTTCACTGTCAAGTAACAACTAATCGTCAGCTCGCTGTTCCAGATGACTCTTCTGTGATGGGGGAAAGTCCCCTGTCTGGCTCCGGTAGGCGGCTGTTCTCACCAAGAACATGCGCAAGTTCGCTGAACCTTAAAGGATAGAGACACTTGGTTATTGCAAAAGTGCTGAAGATCTCGCATAAAATGTTTGCTGCTCAATTGCACGTTGTTAACCTGTGAGGGGGCTCCTGTTAAAAGGGTGTGAACGCGGCTGGAAGGGCCGAGAAGGAACTGGGTGAGACTGAAGTGTCTCATTCTCTTCCTTTCTCTTGTATCCTCTTTTTTCCCGTTTTCTCTCCGCCCCATCCTCGACAAGAAAGCCTGTTCACAGGCTAGCACGTTGCTTAAGGCTATTGAAAAGAAAACATATAAGGGACATAAAAACAAACTGTGTACTCACTTGGATCCTTTCAACAAATCCAAGAATCCGTGAAACTGTCGGAATGATGCTTCTATACTTTCCAATACACGGTCGTCTTCAAGTATGGTTCTCGCTCCTGCAGTAGAATTAGAACAAACTTGAATACCGCTATTTGAATCAATGTATTGGTCTTAACAATGAACAAGGTGTCCATTATATGGGGATATAGAAAAAGTCAAGAGTTTTAACAATGGCCAATTTTCTCTATGAGATGCGCCTGCGGGGAATCACGGTAGTTCTGTTCATCATCTTGGATTGGATAGTTGTTTTGATGAATACAAGTACCATGATTCCCTGCAGGCGCGTCTCACAGAGGGAGAGTGTGACACGTACCTCCATTCTTCTCTTGATCTAAAGTAGTGTTCATAAACATGCCATTAAACGAGATGGGGCGGGAGGGTGGTAGCTGTTGAGTTAACAAAAATTCATTGGCCATTCATTGGTAATACCTTCAGTTGCTGCGTTAGGAATTGCAACTACTACGAAAGCACAATGACACATGATGTTTAGATAATTAAGTATCTACTTACCGTTTGTTTGGTCTTCAACAGCCGTATTTCCTGCTGCAGTCGCCTGTTTTCAACTTGCAACTACATGTAAATTAAGTACAATAAAGACGAATAATCATTTTCGGCCGTTAAATCAATCAGAATGAAGCAATTTTGTCCGGAATGTTAAAAAAAAAAAAGTTCAAATGTTGTTGTTTATAGGGGACAGTGCGCTTAGCTACACCTAGCTAGTTCTCAGGCATGCCACTTAAACTTAAAGAAACAAATATATCAACTAAATATTATAGGCTTAAAAATTCCAACTGGCATGAGGCAGACCAGTTAGCTATTTACAAGCGTGACCGAGGAGTTGAACTAGGGTCTACCGA